TTTCCTCCGCCTGCTCCGATAGCTTGTTTATACTGCTCTCAAATGTGGCTTGTTGTCCGCGTATCCTTTCATCATCTTGACCAATCCCTTCTGACTGGAGCCCGTCATGGTACCTTCCAAACATTTCCGCCATTCTTCCCGGGTCTCTTTTGTACTGCACTGGTTCCGTTCCCGGCACTTTGAGACTGTGGATTGGATCCCTCGCCTTATCTCCTTTGATTATCCTGGTATAGTACTTGCTATTTGCTTCACCTAGTATTGCCTGGTTCGCATCAGTAAGTTCGGACCCATCTGGTGGTGTCTGGCGGGGGTCACCGTCTGGCACCGCATGGTGCCATGCACACCATACCGGTACCAGACCATATCAGATCGTTATGCAGCCAGACTTGGTAGAGTCAGCCAGACACTGCCTAATTTTTTTTTGCTCTGACAAGTTAATGACCCACCACAAACACTTCTTGTATTGATGCCCGGCTCCTCGACATGGTGCTCAATGTCGTTTCCAATGTTGACGCTACCACGAGCAGACGTGCTCGGTTATCAAACCGGCCCGAAGCACATGGTCTATGCGCAAGCACGCAATCGACCACGTGTATGTTGGTTTCAACGGCGCAAAATTCCTAAGTTCTTCCTCATCCCACCACCTCGTCTTAACCACAAGACGAGGGCTATCCTTCTACCACCACCACCCCCTCCTCGCGATCTCTGTGTCCATTACGGGTCCCAATGGCAATGACCCCACCGACGGACGAGTTGACGCAAGGGTTTCGGTAACGAGGACATGCACAACAACGACAATATTGCGGCCTGCACAAGCACAATGACCGGGGCAACAAATAGGACGACGGGACAGTGAGCACAATGACAGGACGGCGAGTACGATGACAAGGATGGTGAGTAGACGGCAATGACAGCAGTAACAACGGCAAGGACAGCATGCACACCGACTATGCGCCTCGGATCCCGATTCCAGTCCCATCTGCGAGCTCGCTAGTGGCCCCGCGGCTCAAGGATGGTCTAGTGCGTCTTTCCTCTTTTCATTGTTCATACCATTCACCGCACGGGGATGATCAGTGCCGCCGACGGAGCCTCTTGGTACATAATTTATGTCAATCCTCTGGTGCGAAGCGTCTCTTTCAGTCGTTCCGAAACATATATTGAACTGATCCGCATTGTACGACAGTCTATCAACAGGGCACTGCCTGCTATCGAGCACAAGCTCCGGACAAGAACTCAGCTGGTTGGCGGCTCGTGCTATTATGATCATATCAACTTGGCGAGTCCTTACCCGCTTTGTCGCATTCTGTACAGACCCTGTTTATAGCACTGGTATGGGTGACTACGAGGACAGTGTGCCCAAACGTGAAGACCTGCGATCGCGATGATATCGACTACAAGATTAGCCGGGCACGACCAGGACAACAGCTCAACACCTACCCATGTTCGCCGCGCATCATGCCCATACACCCGACTCCGGTGATGCTAGACTAATACTTCCACCACGGTATGTCCGTGGTTTACCACAGCTGCGCAACTGCTAATTGTCCTGCCCCAGCATATAGGGCGCACCTGGTGTGCACGGCATTCGGTGCTGCATTGGTATCTAATGATAGCATGTATATACTTACTAGCTACATCGTGTTGTATTAGATACACTAATCTACTTCATTTTTTCTGCAACTTTTATTATGATTTTAAGCTACTGGCAATGGTGTGGGATCAATGCATGCTCGAGGTGCTGTATGGGATTGGTCTGGTAGTGTATGGTTGAAGTGTCTGGTAGCATATGGTTGATCGGAGGGACGTGCATAATTTATGCATGTCGTTTCTGGTGCCAGACGCGTCTGGTGAGCATGGTTGGTCTGGTGCCATGCTCACCAGACGGGTGGCTACTTACTGATGCGCTTTCGCCGCCGCCTTCCTTTCTTGCCACATTTCGCCCCCAATTTTCGCTATTTCCCGCTCGATCTTCGCTGACTCTCTTTGCTTATGCTCTTCTGAGGTGCTTGTATTCTTCAACACCGTTTTCAGTTGTCTATCAAGTTCTGCTATCTTCTCTTTCCCTTTCGGCAGAATCTTCTTGGCTTCCTTTCTGAGCTCAGTACCGATCTTCTCTTTCCAGTCCGACCATAGCTTCTGTGGGTTGCTCTGGGAAGTTCGGTTCTCTCCTGAGGCGCGCTCCATGTCCTTGACCAGTTGAACCCCACTTTCATTTATTAGCTTTGTCATGTCCTTCGTTTTCACCACGTAGGACGGAATGGTATATCTGCCATATCCTTGTTCCGGCGCGCTCGCCGTAGTCACTTCGCAGGACACCCTCTTGTGGTCCGATTCGATTCCATCATCTCTTGTCGACTCCATCTCCCAGTTCCTGCACTGGCTTAGCCTGGATCTTTTGATGCAGATGCGATCTATTCTCGACGAACTTGGGCAATTCGTTGCCTGCATGAACGTAAACGCTGCGGTATCCGGGTTCTCCTCTCGTCACCTGTCTATTAAGTCACACTCGCGCAGGAACGCGTTCATCGCCTCCACGGCTTCTCTGTCGTCATCGTGCGCCGGGAGCCTATCTAGTGCCGCTGGAGCGAGATTACAGTCTGCGCATATTGCATCTGGCTTCCATTCTGGGTACTCCCGTACAAAGGTTAGACATGTTCTCCAGTACTCTGCATTTTCTCTCGGCGCATTGGGTGCATAGCTAACCATGATTTTCATAACATCATCACCATGCCACGGTGCCGCGACAATCAGTCCTCGTCCGGGCACGACTTCCCTACGGGTGAGTCCCATCACATTCGTGTTCGGTTTGTAGAACACCAGCGCAACACCTTCCGCTCTACTCGCGCGACCTCCTAGCGCTCTGGAATATTCCACGTGTATCGTGTCTCCAAACCTTTCCGTGATTTCTGCGACATAGTCCTCGTCGTAGTGTGTTTCTTGGAGGGCTAGGATGTTTACTTTCTTATTTCTCATCATTGTGGGGATCTCGTTAATCTTCTCGATTACCACCCCATCCTCTGATCTCGATTTCCTTCCTTTAATGTTCAGCAACGACAGCCTGATGTGCGCTTTTTTGTCTTTTTCCCGGGCCTTGCATTTTCTCGCCTGTTCGTTCTTGCCGCTTGTTCCCCTTCGTCTTCATCGTTCTCCCAAAATTCTTCTGGGTTGGGGTCTTCATTTTGTGTGGACAGTCTCTCAGCACCGGCGGTCACCCTCGAGCGCGAAGCAAGGTCTGTACCTGCACGGTGTTGTGGTCCGGTTCGTTGTGGTCTGCATTGTTCCCCCCTCGACGTATTAGGGTTCATACGTGCAGGCGTACTTCCTCGTCGAGAGGAGTCGGGACCAGCGTTGGAGGTCGCCATTTGTGTGGAATTCAGGTTACGATTAGTTGTACTCATCATTAAGCCATGTAGGCTTGTAGTGGACTGTGTTGTATAGTCATAGCCGTATCGCAGCGACGAAATGAGAGAGTAGTCTGGTCTATTAACAATTAGCACTAAAATAAGTCATACTGGTCATTACGCCGCGGTCGCCAATCGCTTCAACGACTCCTCAGCAGCAGTCACACCCTCCTGCATACCAATGGCTCTCGAATGCTCCAAGCCTTTTGTATAAAACCTGCTCGCCATGCTCTTGTCGCCCGCAATCTGTCGACGCGTCAGTACCCGCTTCCCTTCAAGATACAGGTTAAACCCACCTCGCGCATAAACCCAACGTTAAAGAGCGCGGCGGCATACGCGACTTCGCATATCGGTATGGGCTCGTGGAGCTTGCGCGTCTTTTGTAACGTGCCCAGCGCTTGTTTCGCCCAAGACTCGGCTTGATTGAGTCTTTCTGGGGTGAGCTTGCCGGGGCGGTGGAGGATGAGCTCGGAGATGTTGCCCATGAGCTGTGCGCCGCGACACTGGTCTTCGGGTGGCGACTCTTGTGGTGGTGGAGGTATGAGAATGAATATGGCTTGGAGGTAGAGCGGCAGGGCAAAGCTATTTGCACGTCAAAAAACAGAAAAGAGTAGGTGATTTTGAGCTCACTCGATCTTTCCTATCCGCCTGTAAAACCCAGCAAGGGCCTCCAGCGGGGCACCGACATCGGTAGAGGACGCCCAAGGCGGTAAATCAAGTTCTGCCAGGACTAGCTGATCGACGTCTGGGTCAATCTCGCCGGCGTTCGCTTCCTTGACGAGACGCAGAACCTCCTCGACAGCCCACTGCAGATACTTCTCCTCCTCCGCCTGGGGCTTATTCAGCGTCTCTGCGTGTTCCCCAATTTTGCCGGCAATGGCCACCGCGCGTAAGCGCTCGTTACCCGTCAAGCTCGTCGCGTCCTGCATAATCTTGAGCACCTCCTGGTACAGATTATATGCCTGCTCGAGTTGCCCGTCCTGCTCGAACACGTCCGCCAGTGCCACAGCGACGCCCGACAATTTTAAGTATGGCTCCTCCCCCAGCGTATCAAGCGGCAGGTTCCGTACTGTCGTCCAAGCCCTATAGTCGGTAAACATATGCCAAACACAACAGAAAAACAGCGCGTACCGGTGGAAATACTGCGCGCTCAGTCCGAGGTCGTTTTTCTCTTTCGCCTTGAGGGCGTCGCGTAGGTCTTGGCGCACCTCGCTCGGCCACATCGTCAATGTCCCATATAGCTCCCAACTATACGCTCGTTAGACAGCGTATAAAACAGGAAAACGTAAACGCACAGTCCATAGCCAGTACACCCTATCCCGACGACGAGCAGTGCAGAAAACACGGGTGACAGCCGACTACTTGACCCGCTCGACGTAGAGTAAGCTCGCTGCGCTGCTGCCGGCGTCGTCCGGAATGGTTTACGCGTCGCACGCGCCGGTGCCCAGCGATGGCGCGTGAGGGGCTCGGCTGCCTTTTGGACTCGTCGGGAGAACATCGTGGTCGGAAGAAAATGACGGAACAGACGATGAGGTAAAATGTGAAGGGCCTACGGCATGCAATAGAAGCTATGGTGCGAAAACGAGGCGCCTTTCACGTGGCGCTATGGTGTAGTGGCAGCACACGGGATTTTGAGGAAGTCTTCCCAGAGTCTTCCCGTAACCCAGGTTCGAACCCTGGTAGTGCCTATCTATCTGCCGTGGATAACTCTTTTGGCTACAATCACCTCGCTTTTAAATTGCTGTATTTGTCTTAGTTTTTTTAGAGTGGCGCAAATTGCAATGATCTGTTAGTAACGGTATTGATAAAAGGCTGTCGTTAGTAATGATTTCAGGAATCAACGCCGCGTGGCGCTGGGCCTCTGTCTCAACGCTCTCGGGTTCTCCAAACATGTTTGTGAACTTCAAACAAAGCAGTATTATTGTATGATTACAAGAGTGTGATCAGAATTCAATCCCACCTTTCTCCCCCCACCGGGAATCAGAACGACAGCGTGCCGTCACGCCGAATCCCGATGTCAAATAAAACCTATAAGTACCTCGACTTTCTATCCTGTTTAAGAAATACCAAGTGTATCAAACAGCAACAGTTAGGGAGTACTGCGTGATTAGCGATATGACCAGTGAACAGCGCTCTCCTGCCGCCACATATCTTCATACCAGTCATCACCTGTCACAGTCATCCCATATCAATCACATCGCATAAAAACACTCCAATCAACATTAGCCATACTAAATGTTTCCACTAAAACCATTATTTAAGTACCATGTCGATTTTACAGAGCAGTTAATAGGGCATGTTTGTATGTATATACACCACGAAGAAAATCTAGGAATGCCACGTCTATAAGTCTATTTTCCTCCAGACTGCTTGAACAGGATCAGCCCTCCAAGCGCGATCGCATACCCAAATATCTGCAGCGGCGTAATCGCCGACGAAAAGATGAGAACCGACCCCGTGATGAGCAGGATATCCTTGAACACGCCCGCAAGCGTGAGCACGAGCCCACTGCCAACACCCACAAGGAACACAGCCGCAACGTTGAGGAAGAATGCGACACACGCGTTGCTGAGTAGGATGAGGGGGCCGATGCGAGCTAGCTCGTAGAAAGGCGCCAGACCCTCCGTGAAGGGCAAGGCGAGGAGATTAATGGCAGCGCACACGGGTGCGTAGTAGTGCAGCGACACTAGAGGATCCATCTTGAGTCCGTGTAGCAAGATCTGGATCATGACGAGGCGCGAAGCTTCAAAGGCGACCGCGGCGGCCTGAATGAGGAATCCAAAGAGGTTAAAGTGCATCTCGCCGTGCGAGGCGAGCGCAACGCCGCATGAAATCATGAAAACGATGACAGCGAGTTTGCGGTTAGGCTCAGCGATGCGGAAGGTCCATGAGATAAGGAGAATAGCGACGGGATTAAATGCCTAGACACATAATTAGTTTCTGATAACGTCCTTGCCGTAAAAATTTGACAGGTGCGGGGAAGATGTGGCTCACCTTTAGCATCTGGATGTACGACACGCTGAGGTACAGATACGCCGTATTGCTGAGGATGAGACTGCCGCTGAAGAGCAGTCCGATGGGGAGAATAGACTTGACAAACATATCCTTGGTCATGTTGACGTCCTTGACGCCGTCAAGGAGGTGCGTCGTTCTCTGCAACACGCGGGTACCGATGGCCTGCATGGGAACGGTCAGCCGAGGCCGCGAAAAGAGAAAGAAAAACGCACAGCAAAGGTTAAATGCCATGTTACGAGCCAAACGGGATATTTGAAGGCGAGCGTGTTGTAAAGGTAGTTGTTGTAGATGATGACCGCCGAGCTGAGGACAATCCAGACCGGTATTATCATCGCCGCGGACAATTTTGGCTTGGGCTTCGGGGTCGCAGCTATGGCCGGAGACGGCAGGGCTTCGTCGGACTCGTCAAAAGCGTCCTTGGACAACACATTCTCCTCCTTGCGCGCCGGCGTGAGCTCGACGTCTTTCTCGTCGTGGTTACTGGACGACGACGACGACATGGTGGTTGCGGTGAGAAGAGCAAATGCTAGGAAAGCCGAATTGCGTGAGCCTGATGATAAGCATAGCTGATGGTCGTTACGCACAGCGACTGAGTTAAAAAAGAAGATATTCCAATGAAATACAAGGCGAGCGCAGCGTCGGCGACGACGTCGAGAACGGCGGCGGGAAGAAGGTCGTGGTTGCGGGTTAAGTTATCCGTTTGCGGGCGCCCCTCTTGCCAACATCCGGCAAATGCCGCCGATCAATCTTTCCGACGGTCCGTGATTTCATTATCCAACGCGGCTCAAACAAATGCCACGAGACGAGTAGTGGTGCTAAAGATTACAGATGCTAGCATTTCCCCAGCCTTGTTTCCGAATGCATAGCGTTAAATGCTGCGCACCGGATATCTGGGTGGCGTCCTTAGTCCTATTAGTCTTGAACCTTGCGAGTCGCACTGCACTACGTTCCACACCCAGAAAGAGGCTTCAACGGAACGTTCAATGAGAAAGACATGTCGAGTCTTTGCAAAAATAACGCTCCGTTTCAATTGCATCCACGCACGAAGGTCGCTTGTCGGGTACCTAAAACTCGGAGAGTACCCACCAAGTCGGAGAGAGAAAGAGGACAATTACGCACAGCTATCTGCATTCCCCGAAGCCGTGTCAAGCGCCACTTCCTTTCAAAACACATATTGGTCCACAATTTACTATCTGAATCGTCTAGCTCGCCTCTTTCAATAGGACGCTAGCTCGTACAGGTTAGGGTACCCGCATCACTCAGGTCTAACTTAAAGTTCGTAACGCAGCATTCTGTCTGTCCTTCAATAGATCCTATTTAATACAATCCTACCGACCGGTGCCAGATCGCAGACGACGGCGCATCTCCATTCTCTGCTTGGGGGCGCACCTCTGACTTTATGCATCAGAGTTGGCACCTTGTGGTCGTCGCGTATGGGAAGTAATAAGTGTCGTCCCAGTTGAGCAACGCACAGATTATCATTCCAGTATTAGCGTCGACTTCCGTCTATATCTCAACATGCGTCTACGGAAGTCCCCTCCCACTTCTCACTGCCTTTGCTACCTCGCTCTGAGACTCGTTGTTTAGGTACCTACCATATATCTCCGTATAATGCTCCTTCGCCTAAACAACAACAATTAGCTCTACACCTCATCACTTCGCTAAATCCTCTCACACTAGTAGTCTTCGCAATACTCTCCCTCTTCTCCACAACCCCCGCATACTCCACCCACTCCTCACTCACCTCCCCTCGTTCATAGCCACGGAACTCACCAACCACATGGTCCCGAACAATCCAAGGCGCGATCGCCGCATCCACCATTGTAAACTCATCTCCAAAAAAATATGGTCTTTTGACCTGACCAGCGAATGCACGCAGCGCCTCGTAAAGCTCTTCCCTCGCGGAAGCTTGTCTCTCGGGCTCCTGGAATTGGACAAGCCGGAAGAAGGACGGCACGCACGATTTGGCGACGTGGTCGATCCAGATGCGCGCGTAGGCGCGTTCCGAGGGGGCGCTTGGGAGCATTTTCTGACCAAAGGATGCAAAGGCGTCTTCAAGGAATTCGCAGAGGATCAGGGATTCGTAAAGTGCGCGGCCTTCATATTCAATGGCGGGGACGAGGCCCTTGGGATTGATATCTATTCAAGTATGAATGGGGTGCACGTACTAGTGTAGAGAGTACCTACCTAGAAAATGTTGCTCCTTCTTGTAGGGATTAACCTCCTTGTATTGGTATGGATATCCAAGTGCGTTGGACAAATGGGCAGAACTGTTTGAGCAGTCATGAGATGCATGGCGGATTTCAGAATAAAAACACACACCCAGCCCGACCAAAAGACCAATTTCTGTGGCTGCTGATGCTCCGCAACCGTCTGAGCTGCACGCTCTGTGGCGCATGGATGGATGTGTTCATCGGGCATCGACATGTTGGAAGGAGTGATGCGCTGGCGATGAGTGCATTCAGATTATATAGCCATGTCATGGCGTCATTTCTTACCTCGCACCAATGTCAGAGCCGCGTCTGTCAACTGATATATGGACACTGAACAACGGAACCCGTCAATACAGTTCTACCCTTGCAATAATTCTATGCCACCCGACGTCGTTGCAGTTCCCCTGCTGGATGCGCTGAATTCTATGTCGCCCCAGCAAGCAGGAGTCATCGGTACCAGCAGTTACTGCGCCACGAGACAATTTGTCAAAGAAAGTGCTCGACGAGTCAGGTAGTCCCGAACAAAGTATTGTCGTCAAAAGCCAAAGAGGTCGCGTCGCAGTCATAGTGAGAGAAGCCAATACACAGCACGCAAGGTCGTCGCGGGTCTAGACGGTGAGGCTGACGAGAATCAATGTAAACATATCCTATCAGAAGACATGCCTGTATAATAGGAGATATGTTACCCTGTGGCCAAGTCGTCAAAATCGATACCAGGTAGAAAGAACCCACCGTCATGGGAGAGCTAACAGTCCGGTTGGCATCGTGCCCAGTGTCACTGTAGGGCAGTACTCATCCGTAGACCAGAAGGCCAACGATGTCGCTTCCTACTACGAGCTTTCGGATCCAGATCCGGTGTTGAAGGAAATTTACCGATTCCAAGCGCTATCAGAACCGCAAAGCAGGCTTTCCTGAGTACTACTGTCGTCGAGTTTGAGATCGCGTGTGGGGGTTATCGCAATTCAAGTCTTTGGACATGACGGTTGAGGATAAAGCCAGAGCGATCACGTGTTGATTTGCTCCTTTTCTTCCGCCCATCACGGTAAAAATACGAAACGAATCCTCAAATATCCTTCGACGCGGAGTTACGTATATCTGTATCAGGCGATAAACGTTATGGTTTTGTTGATGTATATCTTCAACACCGACTTTCCTGTTCGGTCCTCGAAATTGTATCCATGAGGTAAGTACATTAAGCGCTTGGTTTGAATTCGTCCTATCGGCATGAACGTATTCTAATACTCTCTAGATGAAGCTGATCCTCTCCTCCAATAGTAACCTTCAAGAGAAATGATAAATTACGCCACACTGTCTTTTCCTGCAGACTTGTTCCTTACGACTTTCCCCAGTCTGAATGTCAATCCTGCCTTTGTTCTACCTTACTGGTACTCCCAAGGAATATGTTTTGACGTCCATATCAGGTAACACCTGTAGGACCCTTGTGGACACGTCCACTTATT